CACATGACACAACATCCCCTGTGTTACCTCACATGACACAACATCCCCTGTGTTACCTCACATGACACAACATCCCCTGTGTTACCTCACATGACACAACATCCCATGTGTTACCTCATGTGACACATCCTGCCATGCACTCCCTCACCTGTTTCTGGTAGCTGTCCTGTAGTGTGACCTCACCTGTAGTGTGACCTCACCTGTTACCTCACCTGTAGTGTTACCTCACCTGTAGTGTGACCTCACCTGTAGTGTTACCTCACCTGTAGTGTGACCTCACCTGTAGTGTTATCTCACCTGTAGTGTGGCCTCACAAGTTTCTGGTAGCTGTCCTGTAGTGTTACCTCACCTGTAGTGTGACCTCACCTGTTTCTGGTAGCTGTCCTGTAGCTGAGCGCGCGGCGTGCGTCGCTGAGGGTCCACGTAGTTTCCTCCCGTGTACGACACGTGTGAGATGAGCATGTGTAGAGGGGTCTCCCCGAGGTCGGTGTATGCGTTCACCTGAGGTCGGAGGTCACACAAACACACAAGGTCATTACGTGGCTACACAGTTTGCTTGTCTATGCGTGTGTGCGACATTACGTATGATTGATAGAGTTAAAAAAGGAATGGCAATATGATTACGATGGTGTATCTTTTCTGCCTGGGTAATGTTTACCAGGAACTGATCCTACATGTGTATTGTGTCCGGACAGTCACAGAACATTTGCAATATTTGTGTGAGTGGAAGGGCGAATTACCGTTTGCAACTGCATAATGCCATATGAGCGCCAAGGGGTGGATGTCAACAGAGAAGTCCTTACAGGGAATCAGGCTTACTTTGCTCACCTCTCTAGCCTCAACAGCACAAAGTCTGCTTCGACTATCAAGGCACCCCGGAAATAACGGGTCACAAGAGAGTGACAAACACACAAAAGAAGTAGAGGAAAATGACAATAGTAAGGATCAGGAAAGAAAAAGCAACAGTTCCCCCTATGTCGTTCCGGCATAGAATGAGCATGACATTGTTGGATCAGCCCATTTTCTATTCTACTGTGCATTAGAACATGTTAATGTTCCCCCTTTGGGAATGGCCAAAAGACAACTTCAGTCAGTAGCACTGCCCTGGGGGGTGGGGGGTGGTAAAGGCAGGTTTGTGTGAGTGTGTGAGCGTGTGAGATGAGTGTGTGAGCGTGTGAGGTGAGTGTGTGAGCGTGTGAGGTGAGTGTCTGACCTCCTGTTCTATGCCGGTGGTGAGCAGGTACTTGGTGGTGTCGTAGATGGTGAACAGACCGTCCATGTTTTGTCGGTACAGCCGGTGCAGCGCTGTCTCCTGGATGCCCTCTGACCTCAAGTGCACGTCCGCACCGCTCTCCAGGAGGATACTCACACACCTGTCAGACAGACACAACAGATAGATAGACACACACCTGTCAGACAGACACAACAGACAGATAGTCACACACCTGTCAGACAGACACAACAGATAGATAGTCACACACCTGTCAGACAGACACAACAGA